CTCATTTCCACGCCCACAGCACGTCCTGAAGCTGGAACTTACGCTGTCTCTTATACACATCTAGATGTGTATAAGAGACAGGCGGTACGCGCTGACCCATCATCGGCACACACTATAAAAATTACTTGGATTAAAACATCTCCGGTACTCATCAGGCGTTCTTGTAATTAATTGAAGATTGGCAGATGCATATTATTGTTCTCCGATAGTACTAATTTGAGGCGGATCGTAGCGAATCAATAACATCTTTCCGCCTTCTTGCCTCTCGATACTACCCCATAATTTAGTCAATCAATTCAAACAAAGACTACACGCAAAGGCGCCGCGTTCAAAGGTCTTTGGTCCCCTTTAAACGTGTGTTCGCTTAATAATATCGTTCTAAAATACTTAGCGATCGATGCACTTCATATAAACATAAACGAATCATATGAAGTTTTTTTTTTCAAGAGCTGTTTTCAATAGCGTATTTGTTATATATACGCCGGCAAACATAATGTGAGCCAGTTATGAATTTCTCTAACATAAAGTGCGTTGTCGATAGTCACATGTTTACGGTACAAAATTGAAAAGAGAGTGGAAAACTTTTTTTGAGTCGAAAGCTAAGACGGTGGATACTTTTGCTTGACCGATTCTGAGCCTGTCTCTTATACACATCTAGATGTGTATAAGAGACAGACATATCGGTTTATTAAAATTATTCACATAGGGTTAAAATTATTAATTTACAATAATAATAATAATAATAATAATAATAATAATAATAATAATAACGATATTAGCACAAATACTACTGTATTATAATAACAATATATATATATATATATTATAACAAATACGTATAATTATGATCATTGACATCGTTCAAGTAATATAATTTGGCTTCTAAAAGATTATTTATTATTATTTTCATTTGATTCTTCAATCTACAGGGGCTAAAAGGAAAGAGGTAAAGAAGAGGAAAGTTGGGCGTAATCCACGTGTGCCGTTCTCCCCGCAACAAGTAGCAACACTGGAGCAAAAGTTTCGCCTGACGCACTATCTTAGCAGTGTCGACGTCGCAGAACTTTCAACCACTTTAAATTTATCAGACAACAGGGTAGGTTATTTTTATCCATTTATTTTATATAACCAACAAATACGGACAATATCGTCACATGTTTAAAAACAAAACATCTTTACAGCCATTTATATAAATGATCCCATAAGAATTACCTGACTTATAATTATTTATTTATTATTTGTTAATTGAAATTATCTTACGATAATGCACACGATAGGCCTGATTTTAGTTCTTAAAAACAGAAATACATAAAACCTAATATGGACAAAGAAACAATTTCTGATAATTTACTGTACCTGTTATTATATATATATAATAAATTATTATATATATAAATATATATATATATATATATATATATATATATATATATATCC